AGCCTGGGATCGGTGCGGAAGACCTTCACCCTGACCCCCCTGGCTTCATGTCCCAACTCGCTTTTTATCGCCTCATACACCTCTTCCTTCTCAACCGATGGATCTATACCTCTTATCTCTATGTCCATCATTTTCTGGAGCCTAGTGACCTCGACTTCCGGGCCCAAATTCCCATCCAAATTCTTTCTGAGTCCCTCCAAGTCCGCTCCTTGATCAAACTCTATGAGCAGGTTACCTGCCCTGGTCTGCTTCACATTTCGGACTCCCTCCGGGATCTTACCCGCTGCACCCTTAACCCTTTTGAGGACATCCGCAAAAGATATCTCCTTCCCGAAACGGACCGCTAGTGCCTGCGGCTTAAAATTCCTCCTCGGGGTAGTCTTCTCCGCGCTACCCCTTCCCTTGTTTGGTCTGGGGGTTTCCCTCTTGCTGGGAGTGGTCCCCACCCCATCCTCCTCCTCCAAGTTGCTCCGCCTTTTCCTCCTCCTGACTTCCGACCAATCCGGCTCCTTACAGGCTCCTTCCCTCTCCTGTCCTGTCGTCTGTTCTCCATCCCCATCATTTCCCACATTCTGGGTCTCCATCAGTCCATAATTACCCTGGAATCTTGTCCTCTTTCCCTGCTTGTTTATAGGGGGGGTGGTCTCCTTCCTCTTCTGCTGCTTTCCAGCCGGGAGAGGAGGGAAATCACTCCTCAAATCGATGTCTGTCTGTGTACTAATGCTCTTCATTTTCTTTTCTTTTGCAGGTCCACCATCCGTAGGCGAGTCTGTAGGCTCCATCATCGCCGGCTTCCAGTGGGTACCCTTGCTTTTCTTCGCAGCTGTATGATCGGTATGTACTTTTCTCAGATCCCCTACCGTGTCCATTACCTCCTGTATGTGGCCCTTCATAGATGCGTACGTACTTCTTAGTATAAAATCCACCTCCTTATCTCCCTTCAATATCAAGTTATCGAACACCGTGTTGTGGTCGTTAATCACACTCAATAGCTTCTCCATGGCCGCTAATCCAGCGTCCACCTTCTCCTCTAGCGTGAGACTGGTCCTCCTTTGTTGCGAGAGGGTAGGGGTTCCCCCTCTCCTTCCCCCTCTCACACTCTTCTTACTCGTTTCGCTTTCACTTTCCGCCTCGTCTCCCGTTAAATCAATCGACTCAAGTCTCCGAGTTGTCGCTCCCGAGACTCTTGGAGCCGCTGGGTGGGGTCCTACTCAGCTTCGGTCTCCTCGCAAAACCGCGACTTGTCACCAAGTCTCCCGGGTTCAACGCCGGGACTTCGCCAGTAACCTTTACTGGTACGGGGGCCTGGCGGTCTGCCACCCGTACTGTGCAGTCGCTAGATAACGACGCGGGGGAGCCTGCACCTACGCTGCCCACCGCGCCGATACTGGGGGATCCGAAGCCCCCTGCACCGTAAACCTTCTTACTTTTGTCGTCGTAGTTCATCATAATTTTAAATAGAATAGTCCTTATAACAAGCCAGGTCGTCATAAAATAAGTCCAGTCCATTACCCATCCGTTATACAATAGCATAGTCCGTAAATCACCACCAAGTCGTCAACGTAAGCTGGGATATGCACACAATGGTTAACACGACCACCTGGACTAAAAGGCCCCTGAATATCGCTTGGGCACTTCCCCGCACCCCATAGTACCGACAAATCACGAAAATCTCACAGCCACTTTGAATCACCCTGTACAGGGTGTAAAAAAATTAAATGTCACGACCTATATGGGGTGATTCTACACCTCTGGATCGGTGGAGATCTGTCAAAGAAAGCGACCGCAAAATTGACCTTGACCCCTAATTTCAAGGTCAAACTTTTTTATTGGCTTATCGTATAGTGCTCATCAAGGGGATAAAAAGTCTGAAAGGAACCATGTGCCGGAAATCAACCCTTCTCCTGGAAAAAAGCCGTCAAAGTTTCCATATACCATAATGCATTAAACGTTGAGTCGCCCAGTACCCCTCTCCAGTGATCTTGGCGCGGCAGTCTCGCGTATCGCTCGAGTTTCACGGTATAGGACAATTCTTGAATTTCAGTCACAATGCCAGCATATAGGAAGGGTAAATTCTAAGAGAGCCTATTTAAAAAGATAAAATAACTACTACGTGTAAAAGAAAATAATAATGAATTTAATTCACTGAAATTTTGCACTTTGAATATAAACGCAAGATAAATCTTTAGTTTTATCATTTCACAGTTCGTTAACACATCGCAGTTATGCAGTTAATGCATCAGTTAATTATTACGCAAAGGACTGCATCAAATATTTATTATCTTATTATATTTATTATTATATTACTTATTATTATTATTACCTTAATATTATTATCTTATGTTACATATATTATTTTTTTATATAATTACTTTATATTATATTTTTATTATTATTGTTATTTATATATTATATTACTTATCATACTTGTATCATATTATATTATATTACGAATGTTTCGATTAAATTCATTTTTATTTTCATTTAAACGCAGTAGTTATTTTGTCTTTTTAAATATGCTCTCTTAGAATTTACCCTTCCTATATGCTGGCATTGTGATTGAAATTCAAGAATTGTCCTATACCATGAAACTGGAGCGATACGCGAGACTGACGCGCCAAGATCACTGGAGAGGGGTACCGGGCGACTCAACGTTTAATGCATTATGGTATATGGAAACTTTGACGGCTTTTTTCTAGGAGAAGGGTTGATTTCCGGTACATGGTTCCTTTCAGACTTTTTATCCCCTCGATGAGCACTATACGATAAGCCAATAAAAAAGTTTGACCTTGAAATTAGGGATCAAGGTCAATTTTGCGGTCGCTTTCTTTGACAGATCTCCACCGATCCAGAGGTGTAGAATCACCCCATATAGGTCGTGACATTTAGTTTTTTTACACCCTGTACATGTCGAGGGGGAGGGACCCCCCACGGGACCTCCGAGGGTGATAACCATCAAAAACACATAAAAGGTGGAAAATCCGAACTTTGTTCTAAAACTCTATTGTGGTTCTTATATTTCCCTCGGTCACTTGTTCATTCGCTTCTACACCTCCCTACTGACGTCATTCCGCTATGGGGTCCTAAGGACCCCAACCCCTGAATCGGGTGAACCTTCCTTACACTGGGTGTCTCGTAGCCCCATGGGTTTACGGGGACCCCAACCCCTTATCCTGGAGGTTCCGCCTTACATCGGGTGCTTCATAGCCCCCTGGGTTCCCTTCAGCCCCGGCCCCTTATCCTAGAGGACCATCTTTACATTGGGTTCCTCGAGACCCCGTGGGGTACCCGGGACCCATGGAAAGTCAGAATTTGCTTCGAGGCCGAGAATAGACAAGTCTGTCGCGCATCACTGGGCACGCGCCACGTCATCACGACGTCACGGGGTCTCCAATGCCCTAGTGGGGTCCCCAGGTCCCATGAAAAGACAAAATCGCTTCATCGCGAGCATATAACGAGGTCCAGTGCGCACTCTCTGCCGCGCACGACGTCACCGTGACGTCATGGGGTCCTTAGAACCCCGTGGGGTCTTCAGGACCCCATGGGTCAAAATGACCCCTGCGTCCCCCAGGACCCCGGAAATATATTATTCGAAATCCGTAATAAAAAATTTTACGAGCCATTTTATCGCGCACCACTATAGGAGCCACTTAATCGCCGACCTGTAGTAGCGGCCAGCCACCGCGCACTACTTCTGCGACGATGACGTCAAAACCCAGACTTTGCAGTACACCGAAGTATCTAGTCCAAATGGGGTGGGCGCCTAATACTTTAAAACGCTGAAAACGACGCGAAAATTAAGCGAATCCTGTTTAATGTTCCTTATAAAAACGTTCAATAGCTAATTAGGTCCTTCACCCCATTCGCCAACATACACTAAATGTTTATAAAAGTCTCGCAATAAATTTTCTAAAATTTTTCCCCATTGCTCCGGGCCCCAGCACTGCTAGCTCCTTCGGTGTTCTTCATCAGATATTTACATATTGCGCCGGCGCGAACCGTTTAACGCACTCTGATTGGGTAATCAGCACCTTGCGCATGCGCACAACTCGAAAATTTGCCCGAGTCGTCGCGCTGGCTGCATCCGGTTGTCGCTTATCGTTTCCTCTTTCTTCCACGTGTTAATTTCCGTGCTTTAACGACTCAAATCTCCGAAAATATCTATATAAATCGACTCACCGTTGTTGTACGTCGTCTCTCGCGTCATTGTGGTGTTACCTCTGTGCTTTTTGTGCGTGTATTGCTCCTGGTGTCGTCCTGTTGTGCCTGTTAAGGTGTCCAAGTGCTATCCACCACGTGGTCCCGCCATCTTGCTCGCTACATGTCCCCAATTGTTTCCACGTTATTTCGCCTGTGTTTCGCCCTTTTCTGTGTTTGTTTGTGCCGAATCAGCCGTTGTTAACCCCGCTCTACTCGTTTATGTGCATGTTAAACCCGTTCCTGTTGAGTGCAGTTTGTTTCACGCGTGGTAATGTGATCCACCTGTCACTTTCTCTCTCCGATGAGATTTAAACGCCTATAATTTGTTAATTCCCGGTCCGATTTCTACAAATTATGGCTTAAAACTCACACACTACCTTCCACCTAGGGGTCCCACTCACCACTGGATTTTTCACCGAACTTTTCCCCGCTTAAAACCGGATGAGGCCGGAGCGGACCCGGCACGTGTCCGCTCACTACGGCCGCCCGTACTGCACTAACCTAACGTAACCTAACCTAACCTAACCTAACCTAACCCTTTTTTTTTGTGTGGCGGGGAGGGGGAAAATGCTTTATGCACACCGGGCGGGGAGTGCAAGCCCGGTAGTGTGGGACTCCGTCACGTTTACCCACTAAAAACCCCCTCCTCGTACTTACCATTTTTTTCAAGTGGCCGGGATAGACTGGTAAGGCCTTTTTAGGCAAAACTTCGGTCTAACCTTTTTTAGCCACCCTTAATCTATCATTTGGTACATTTCTGTGTTTTATTTAGGGGTTTTACCTCAATATCACGGTGAGTCAATGCGTTCAAAATCTAAGATCTAGATATAGTCATATTTGTAAAATTTCCAGTATATCTATTCGTATTAAGTATATAAGTAAGATATAAGTAAAATAGAAGTTAGATACGCGATTATATGTTTAACAGAATAAAACTTAGTCCTTTGTATTAAATGTTCTTATGATTTGCAGATAGCTAAAATAAATAAATAAATAAATAGTTAAATAAATAAATAATAAATAAATACTTAAGTAGTAAAATAAATAGATGAGTAAGTAATTTATTCCAGTTACAAACGGTAACCATTTTTAACTAACTGGGCTTCACTTTAAGTAGATTTGCGTTAAACGATCGCCATAAACACAACGCCTAAATGATGGTAATATATATTTATGTAACCAAGCAACCAGTAAGTGCTTTTTATTGTTCTTTCGTTCGTTCATTCGCCTTTATTGACTTTTTTGACCTATTTTTACCTTTTAGGCCCATATTTGCAATTTTGAGTATGCTGTACTACTATGCGGTTTTTCCACCTGTACAAGTAGGTATTTTCTTCTTTTATTATTTGGATTACTACTCGGAAAACCTTTCGGGCCCAACAATTCGGTTCAATTTATATTTGCTAGTTTGTTTCCTATTTTTAATTTAATTTAATTCTATTTCGTCACTTATAGTTGTATGATTTCTACCTCGCCCGTTGGTTCTGCCCGTGCGTTTCTTTTAATTTCACGCCTAATTTTCTCTCTATATGTTTTTTCCCATTTTTCTTTTTCACTGATGCAATTTATGCAAAATTCTCTAACGTAGTAATTGGTACTTTTCTTTTTTAATAGGTTTGCCATGTTTTCTGTTGCCCAGATCTCGGGCTGGATGTGACCTATGAGGCTTTCTCTCTCCGCACTCCACCTTGGGCACTGGAAAAGAGTATGCATCACATCGTCATTTGGATCGTCACAAAACCAGCAATTTGCCGTATTTTCTTTTCCGATTTTATGAAGGTATGAGCCAAAACATCCATGACCAGTCAGTGCCTGAACCGTGTGATAATCCAAAGGTGGTGGTCCATCCTGGTACCATTCTTTTAGGTTTGGAATAACCGTATAGGTCCATCTTCCCTTAGTCTGGCTTGACCATTCTTCCTGCCATTTTTGCATCGATTTCTTTTGCTCATTTTCCTTCATTTCCTTTTTTTCTTCCATAGTTGGCGTCTCCTCATTTGTGGTTGTATTCGTTTCCTCTTTTAATTTTCTGATTTTATTATATACATTTTCAGCTTCCTTGGCTGTGTAATCCCACGGGAGCTTTCCTGTTAAGATACACAGCACCTCCGTCGATACGGTTCTGTACGCTCTGCAGATTCTGCTAAGGGGTTGCCTTTGTGCGTCTCTTAGCATTTTAACATTTATTTTGTACTTCAGAGCTCGAGCCCATATCGGAGCCCCGTACATTACGACCGAGTTTACCACATTATAATATAATAATCTAGCTTTGTATCCAGCCCCATTTATGTTTGGCATTAGAAAACTCAGATGTAGCGCGTATTTACTCGCTTTATCGGTGGCTGCTTTTATTTCCTAAGTATTTAGCTTTTTTGCGCGCCGGGATCTGGTTTTCGTCGATATAGACTTGAATTCCTTGTGGATGTTTTCTGCCAGTCAGCAAAAGTGACTCGGACTTGTGTGGTGCCAATTCCAAACCTTCACTCTTGTACCATTTTACCATATCCTTGATGGTTTCGTTCGCTATAAATTTCATCCTGTCAAGGTCATTATCGATCACGATTATGCCTATATCATCCGCAAAAGCCACCAGGTATACGTCTCTTCTAAGTTTAATCCTCAGCAGCCCATCGTATACCAGGTTCCACATAAAAGGGCCTATTATGGATCCTTGTGGAACTCCTCCAAAAACTTGAATTTTCTCTTTCCCATCGCCGTCTCCTATAACTAGCCAGCGATCACTTAGGTAGGATCTTATAAGTTTAATCAGATCCTGCGGAAATTTCCTCTTTTTCATCTCATTAATTACGCTGTTCCACCGTAGTGAGTTAAATGCGTTTTTCACGTCCAGCAGAATCAACAGGCAGTGTCTACCTTCTTTTTTGGCTTGGTCCCATAATTTAACTACCCTATCCATGGCATGAATTGTACTTAGTCCTTTCCTGAACCCGAATTGCTGTGGTGAAAGATTTTCTTTTCTAATTGCTTTTAATAGTCTAATCTTTATAATTTGCTCGAAAATTTTTGTTATGTTTGACGCGATGCATAGCGGTCTAAAATCCGATGGAATAAGCTCGGTGATTTTATCTTTTGTTTTATTTGCAGGTTTTCCTTTAGGGAGGAGAACTAACCTGGTCGTCTTCCATTCGACAGGCCAGTAGCCCAACCTCAGGCACGCATTTAACAGGTCCCTCCAGAAGGTAATCGCACCCAACCCTATTTTTTTGGCAACTGCTGCCGGGATCCCGTCTGGCCCCGGAGCTTTGTTTGTAGCTATTTTTTTACACGCGGCGACTACTTCTTCTTCCGTAATGTCGTCTTCGTTTTCGTTTCCGCTTTCAACATCTACCACCCCATCATTATTTTGTGTACTTACCCGTGTTTCAATTTCAGGTGTCACCCCGGGTTTCGTTTCCTGATTTATGGGTTTTAGGATAAACAACCCTTCAATAACCCTGTTAATCTGGCAGTTGTCCAGTTTAATCGGTGGAACACTGGGCTTAATTTGTTTAATTATCATTTTGTAAGGCTTCCCCCCACATATCATTGTCGATGGTCTTAATAAGTTTTTCTACGGTTTCTTTTCTTGAGTTTCTAATTTTCTTATTTAGTTCCTTCTTGGCTAATTTGAATTCTCTTTCCGCTAATTCTGATAGTTCTTTTTCTTTTTTTCTCCTTAACCTAGTAACCTTCCTGCGAAGTTTGTTAGTAGCTTTCCTTTGTTCAGCTATTTCCGGCGTCCACCAGTGCACCGGACATCTGCCAGGTCTAAGAGGATTTCTTTTAGTACAGTTGCTACCTATTTTTTGCATATCCTCGAGTACTTTTTTAATATCGTTTACCGTCTGATTTATACTGTACCTATTATTTTCTCTGTCCCCGTATTTCTCGAGGAACTTGTTTACATACTTGTAACGACCCAGTGATAGGTACGTCACTGCACCGACGTATAGGGAGAGCGGTTCCCCAAGAAGGCGACTCGTATGAATGAGAATTGGGATTATAGGTTCGTGTGATGTGCGGTTAAGGAGTGAAATCCAACATTAATGTATCAAACTAAAAATTATCCTTTATTTAAGTAAGTAAATTAACTATAATTGCTCTAAGTAAGTATAATATTAAGTATAACAATAGGTACGCCCTAGATAATGAAATACAGTGCAAAATATATGATTAACGCGACTTGATCTTCGAATACAGCCAATACTCTGTACAATTTGCCAAGTTACACTAAGTACTGGAAAACTATATTCTAGTAGCTTGTACGATACCTTTGGACACGAGCGGACTATACCTACAGGTCGCAATCGGTTTCTGGTCTAGCCAGAGCTATGCTAATACAGGCCTGCTCAAGGAGCTCCGCTCCTCGCTAGCTCTTTACACTTGAACGTGTGGCTTAGTATTAGCACGTGTTCAACACGTTGCGTACCATGAGTAGGGTGTCCACAGATCCGAACTCTCGTACGTCGCTACTGAAAGAGAAGGATAGAGCTAATCTCGCGCTCTATAGTTGCCTAGGCAATTCAGCGCAAGCTTTTCCTCTACTTTCAGAGTATTGTCTGCATCTGACCGAAGCCAGGGAAGATCTGATCTGACTCTTCGTGAAACGCCTCTATTTATAGTCAGATTCTGCTGACTTAGCGTTTTTTTTTTATTATAGGGTTCCTTTGAATTTCTGGAATTCCCCATCACGTGACGGCCGAGCACCCCTGCTCCTTAGTCTACGCGGTCACCCTACTCTAGAATTTCACCCCACCGCGAGATCATCGGGGTTGCGCTGGCGCGTATGCATTCGTTTGTCGATCATTTATCGATAATCTATTTACCGACCGACTTACCGACTAATTGCTTATCGACTTATCGCTTATCGACTTATTCAATCAGACTATGTTATCGATTAAATGAAATTTATTTATTATAAGAAGTATAATACAAATCAAACTAATTATTATTTTTTTTTATAAACTCTTTTAAACATAAAAATTAAATTAACCACTTTGTGCTAAAAATAAATTATAATAATAAAAACGAAATGGAAAAAGGTGCTAAGTCTTCTTAACGGGTCGTTACATACTTATTTGAATCTATAGTACTTCTGTTCATTCTTTTATTACCCCTATTTTTCGTTTTCTTGTTCTTATTTCTAATACTTTTTGTTTTATCTATTTCAGGATTTTCTAGGTTAACCTCGTGCCACAAATAGAGATGGTCGGAACCAGTGAACTCATCAAGGACTTCACTGGTTGTAACCTTGTAACACAGGTTAGTACTTGTTATCAATAGATCGATTTTAGAACCGTTTCCCTTTATACATGTGTTCCCGCCCACTGTGTAGATGGGCGACAGACTCTCGCTAAGTACATACTCTAATAATATTTTGCCTCTGGCGTTCCAGGTGTTACCACCCCAAACAGGAGACTTGCTATTGAAGTCGCCAGCCAGAAGGATACCGCTCCATTTATTGGATTTGATAACCTCGGATATTTCGTCTAGTCTCTCATCTACTGTTACAACATCTATGTTTGGCGAAATATACTCGCTAATTATCAGGAAATTATTGTAATTTATAGCCACCATGCCTACCCCTTGTCTAACTATGTTTATATTTTTCCCTTTCTGCACACCTTGATTGGTCACCCATATTGCAGCATCTCCCTTGCAGTCGTTAAACCAGTAGTTTTTATTTCTATTCTGCTCAGTTATTAATACTAAGTCTGGGTTTAATGTAAATCCTGAGCCAGTTTACATTTATTAAGGTTAATTTGAAGTAGTTTAAGACTGAATTTTGTTTATCTTAGGTGCCCCGCTTATTGCTTCCTTATATTGTTTACATCTGAGGGATCCTGCAATATGGTTTAGTTCAGCCCCTGTGATTCCCTTTTCTACGCAGAGTACACACCTTGCTCTTTCGGCTTTACAATCAGCCATTTTATGCGAATTTTCACCGCATCTTCTACATATGTCCGCGTCACCCTCGATCGTAGCACACCTCGTTGCTACGTGGCCAAACTTATGGCATTTAAAACATCTAGTTATACTGGGCAATTGTCTTACTCTACAATATACCCAGCCAATCTTAATTTTGTTTTCCCTAAGCAGGGATCCCAGTTCTCCGGGGCCTTCTATGATAGCCACTTGAGTGCCCATAAAGGAGCTCCTAATATTCTTACATTTGATATTTTTTCTATTTACTCCAGTGGTTTCCGATACGCTTTCGAGGATCTCATCTTTTACAGCACCTGGATCAATATCCAGGATTTCGAGAGTGATCTTTGGTACGAGTCTTCTTACCGTTGTCTCATCCCCCATAGCTTCTTTGACCTTCTTATGAAAATCTGTGCTATCGGTCTCTTTCTCGAATTCAATTAGGATGTCTCCTGTTCTGGTGTGTCTGATTCTTTTCACACCCTCTACATTTCTTCCCATTTTTTCCTTAAGCCTTCTCGTTGCTTCTGCGTATGTTTGCTCTTTGTTTACGCTGATTGTAATGGCCTCATTTCTCTTAATTACTGGCGCATTCCTTTTTCTGTAGTTATCTGTATTTGTTATTTTAGCGTTTTTATCTGTACTTGGTGTCTCAATCTTTTCATTTGGTTTTCTTCTTCTCTTTGGACCTACCATTTCCCATTCCGACTCCGAGGAGGCTTCTTCATTTTTTCTTCCTATAATTTGGATACTCCTAATCATCGGTTTCGCTCTGATCTCTTTATTAGTAGTGCGCGTCTTTTTTGATAGCGCCTCCATTTCTGGTGGTGTCACGTTTTTCCTCTTATTTCGCATCTCCGTATATTCGTTACGTGCCTCTATGGTGTTCTGTCTGTTTTCCAATTTGTTAAGACTCTTTATTATTTGTGCAGTTTTATTTTCTTCTACCTTTTTGAGTTCTTCTTGTTGTATTCTTTCTTCCTTGTACGTATTGATCGCCTCCGTAATCAATCCTCGGGTTTTTATTAAGTTTTCTCCCATTTCCGAGCTTGTTTGTGTAACCATTGCACTACCCTCGGCAATTTTCTTCAAATAATTATTTACAAGGTCATTTGAACTCTTGACCATGCTAAGTATTTGGTCAATCGCCAAAAGGGCAGTGTTAAGGGGGTAGACACGGCACGTGACCTCTCCGATTCGGGACGTCAGTATTACAGCAGATTTTTCTGCACCGAAATGGTAATACCCATAGATGTAGGGCAGGCCGATGAAAACGAGAGGGCGCTTTTGGCTAATTCTATATTCTATTCTGAATGTAAAAGAAATAGTCAGCTGTCGCATTATACTTGACAAAATGTAAACGCAAAGTTTGGTTGATAGTGCAAATTTATTATACTTTTAATTAATGAGAATATGCTTATGCTACAAAATGTTACGTTGGAGTGAGGAATAAGTCAGAAGGAAAAATAAAAGATGGGAAATCCCAGAAAAATAAAGTTCCTTACGTTACACCTTTTTCCATAATAAAATACTAAACGGTTAGGGTTAGGGTTAGATTAGTAAATAAAAGGATTAAAACACTGCCCAGTAAATTACAAGCCTTTTTTATTAATAAAATACTACAGTAGAACATGAACTGCGTACACTTATAAGATAATTGACAGTAATTATTGAAGAAACATTATGTATACAATTCGGTTGAGACAATACCGAATATCTTCAACTATCATGCTGTACACCCTGGTTTGGTCTGTAAAAATAAATAAGTTTAATAACAATTACTTTTTCAGTTTATACTGCTTTAATGTAAAAACTGGTACCTACACTTCCTGATGAATCCACTATTACTTTCCCATTTCTGACCGATATTTCTTGCAATGGTGTAAACAGTAAATTGTCATTGAACCTACAATAAAAAGTTACAATCAGTACTAATCAATCTGCATGCAATAAACATGTAAACGTATGTGATTTACTTATCTTTCTGCTTGCATTGCAAAGACCTGGTTGCTTTCCTCCCTTTGTAGAACAGGATTTTCACCATTGATACTGATCACTGAAAATAATTTAAATAAATTCATATATGAAATTCATTATGATTGCCAATTCATCCAACTATTTCTATATCAAAAGTATAAATGTCATACTTACGCTGTCATGCATTGCACTCTTCCTGTACAAAGTAAGGCAAAGTAGCTGCCAGTATACATTATTAGGAGAGTGTGAAGAGACCCACCACCACCCCCGTCATAGACGGTCCTCTTCACTCTCCAAATACTTTCATAGTTACATTCTTTTACATACTTACATTATTTTCTACTTCTACTATTGGACAGCTCTCCATATGAGCTGAATGCACTCGTCGGTGCATTAGTCACTTTGTATTGTATTTTCTTGTTTGACAGCTCTCCATATGAGCTGAATGCACACGTCGGTGCATTAGTGACTTCGGGTTGCTATTGCTTCTTTGACAGCTCTTCATATGAGCTGAATGCACTCGTCGGTGCATTAGTCACTTTGTATTGTATTTTCTTGTTTGACAGCTCTCCATATGAGCTGAATACACACGTCGGTGCATTAGTGACTTCGGGTTGCTATTGCTTCTTTGACAGCTCTCCATATGAGCTGAATGCACTCGTCGGTGCATTAGTCACTTTGTATTGTATTTTCTTGTTTCACAGCTCTTCGTATGAGCTGAATGCACTCGTCGGTGCATTAGTGACTTTCGATTGTAATTGCTTGTTTCACAGCCATTTATTGTGTACTTGTACATGTTCCTCCTGTTTTTATGTACGGAGGTTCTCTAATCGGCTGGTGTCGATTGAATCTACTATCTATGATTTCTGGCAACATGCAGTCCTTATAAAACTTCTTCAGTTTTTCCTCCATCTCTGTTGCCCAGAATGTATCATTTCTTGGTACTTTGACAATTTTCATTCCTTTCGGCGTCCATAAACAGAACAGAGCACATTGTCTATTCGTTATGTGCAACTGTCCTTGCACTTGATAATAGTAATGATGAATTTTGTTCATTTCATCACCCCGGAAAATACGCCGTATTGCAGGAAGTTGCTCTATTGCTTCAGCAGGCGATAAATCCTTCGCCGATTCCGGACATTTTACTTCGACGATGATATCATCGTCTACAATGCCGTCAGGGGTTGCACCTAAGTAAGGCACAACGGCATCGATGAAGAGGCCACATGGTAGAATATGAATTCCTAATTCGTCTTCTAATTGCCTCAAGGCGTTTGCCTCGTTCTCTCTTCCGTATTCGAGGGAACGTAAATTCGGTATTTGCGGATACATTATACTCTTCAAAGTATTTGCCCGCGGTGTATCTTTTCGCAATCTGCATATCTTGCCGAAATTTGATGCGGTTAATAATTTTCTCCTGTAAGCTATCCACTTTTCACTTTTCGCTTGATCGCGAGTTTCCGCTTCAATCGTGTGTCGCATCGTCTGCCACTCATGGAGTATGGCCATGCGCCTTTCATACTCGGAAGAGTATACAGTCTCTTCCATATCTGGTTTTGCTACACTGGGGCCGTAATCCTGGTCGTACGATTGATTTTGATTTCTGAAGGAGGATGCTTTCGCTTCTTTTTTATATTTAGATGCCATTTCTGCTGCACGCTTCCGACGTTCTTCCATCTTTCTTACGATGTTTGTCGGCTCTTTATTCATTGCCATACTCAATTTACTAAAGGTCTCTTTAGTGTTAAATTGGACGACAGCAGCGGAGACTCTACCCTGGTATGAGCCTCTTCGTCCAAAGTTTATCCTTTTCCCTCCGATGAATTTGGCAATTATATTGTTAAAGCTTTCTACAGCATTATTATTTAAAGCGTACAACAAACTTTCAGCTTGAGCGAAGAGTGGCTGCATCGCTTCTTCTATGCTTTGATATATACCACCTTGCTTCAATCGTGGAACATAATTCACTCTGTTCGGATCAGAATATTTGGTGCAGAAATATGCTAACTTCTGACACTCCTTGTGTTCACCGAAAACATGACTCGGTACATTTTTCATGGCCTCCTTCAAATTTTTTATTTGCTCGACTAGTCTATTTTTTTCTTTGAACCGGTATTCTGCAGCTTTCTTTATTCCAGTACGCAGCCGCAGAGCATTGTCCTTTACGACAGCTCTTAGCTCTTTGTAGCGGCCTTTTGCTACGATGTCGTTTATTTTCCTACTGAAATTCCGTAGCAGGTGATTGGTGCATTCTATTTTCCGTATATGCACCATATAATCTTTATATGGATCATTGTCCAATATTTTCTTGTACACACTGCTATCGCCATCGGCAACTAATATAGAATATACTAGGCCGTGCATTTCTAGGCTGCATTTAAATCCTTCGACGATAGCAGCACTTTCCATACCGGTTGAACTTTGCTGACGACCCCAGTTCTTGAAACAGCGATGTTCGCGCGCTGCTTCTTTCTTTTTGGCTGCTGTTTGGCAAATCATACAAAATTTATTTTTAACGCTGATATACAGCACTTTTTTCGTATGATATCCCACGATGGCTCCTACGCCAGAAAGAGAATTGTAGTCTCCTCCGCGGTACGATCTTCTCATCCAGCTGCCATCTGCGACAACTGGAATCCACGGTATATTGTAGCCTGCAAGCACATCGCCTCTTGCAATAGCCAATTCTCTTTCCTCTTTTCCAGCTTCTTCCATTTCTTGTTGTGCGGCCACTTCGAAGCCGTCGATTATGTCATCCTGACATTTCTCGTACATCCTTTTTGTCATGCAAGACATGTTCACGCCGGAAAGTAATTCCTCCAGTTGATTATATCCGCCGCCCGTAACCATTGTTGCAGAAACAGCGGCGTGATTAATATCCATAGTGCTATCATTCTTTCGAAGACACGGAATGTGTCCTACGTAATTGCACATTCGGCACTGTACATTATACGTTTTTTCTAAGCCATATTGTTGACATCCAATTATTTCGAAATGTTCAATGCCACAGCCAATAGGTGAATGATTTGCAAGATTTTTTATTTGTTCAAATATGTATGCAAAATCAGCAAAATCTATTCCTTCCGAAATTGCTTCTTTTGGCTGTTGTGGTTCGGCTTTCTCTACCACCCAATTTATTTCTTCGTCTTCATCGGTGGTATTCAATTCGTGTTCTGTATAGAAATCTCCTTCTTCTACAATTTCTTCGATAGTTTCCATTTCTTCAACATTTTCTATATTTTCTATGTTTTCTTCATATAATCTGTCCGTAAGAGAATCATCCGCAGCAGATGTAGTTGGGATTGTTCTTTCGGAGGTACCTGCACTGGTACCTGCTTCCGCTGCGGTACCTTCACTTACCGTGAGGCATGCTGCCGTTTTTAACTGTTGCCTGCAAGGAAAGTGTTAGTAATAAATAGTGTTGCCTCGAAATAAGCAACTCGCTCCGGGTCGAACAGTTGTTTATTACGGAGCAGGTATGCTATACCGTTTGACTTTCTTCTCGAAACGGGACGATAGAGAACACGAGAAACGAGTGAGAGATCGGAGGTAGCGGCAAGCCATAAAGTGATCGACCGAGCAGCGATGTTATTTCTTGAAAAGAGATCGAATATAACATGTCCTCTCATTTTGGCACTAATTGTAAGCGCTTCCGAATGAACGTAGAATCTCACGAATGAAACACATCAGAATCGCTAATGCCAGAATGAGAAAGGATTACATGTGTTGTACATAATAATTATACCTAAATTCAGATTCTTGTTATAAATTTTTACGATTTGATTTTACAAGAATTGCTACTGTCGGAACTGTTTGGTTTGCCATTCGCTCTAAATCTGATCGCTCTGTCTTTTATAATTGCCGGTTGCTACACACGCTTCTCTCTCATTCTCACACTCATTCTCTCCCGCTCTTTCCTCATCCAGCCTATCATTCGCTCTGTTTGAAATACATGCGATCACTCATTCAGTGTTTCGCATTCGCGCACGTTATCCCTCTCTCTCTCTCTCTCTCTCTCTCGGGCTGAAGTCTCGGTCGAGAAACGATACAGTAAAACCAGGATATATGCAACAGAAATTGGGACCGAAGCATTTCGTTTATAGAATCGAGGTGTCGAATCTCGGGTTACACGCGACGACCAGCCAAGCGTG